AGTTCCCAGAGAGAACCAACAGAAAGACAGGGAGAACTTTTAAATTCCATATGTAAAAGAAAAAAGGCCTGGATTCAAAATCGGATTCACAACTTTCTTGCTACAAAAAGCCATGCTCTGATCAGATAGGTGATTTATCCCTTCACTCTATGTGCATGACGTCCAAACAAATCTAAACGATATTGTCAGTTGTCTAAACTGGCAGTGTCTTGGTGTGGGGATGCTCTTCTGTAGAGATAAAGAAAATAGTCAAAGTTGATGAGAAGATAAGACCTAAAACTGGAAGAAAAGCTGTTGGAGCCTGCTTTATTTTAGCACTGCTCAGTCAAAGTCTGGGACCAAATCCAATAGAGAATCATTGGAAACACTAGAACATTGCTGTTCAGACGTTGTCTATCAAATATACGTTCTGTGCCGCTTTGTTTTGGTCTGTCACTTATAAGTCCCATTGAAATTAGTTGAAATATGTGCTTATACTGTAAAAAAGTTAGAAAAGTTCAAATGGTTTATATGCTTTTTTATTTTCCTGGAAATATATTGAGGTTGAGGCGTAAAGCAGTACCGTCTCTACCAAGACAAACTGTTTCTGACAGAAAAAATTCACCAATCATTCATGTGTCCAATCGGAATCCAGATCTAATAAAAAAACATCCAAGATAAACGATCTGTCGCCACAATTCAGTTTCTGTGCTGCTTTTAGGTCGTTTGTTACATGACGGCAATTTGGAGCTGGAGTCTTTTGTCCATCCGGGCTGTCAGGAAGATTTGATTTAAGTTTTTTTATTACTATCGCTGTTGACTTACTATTCATTTTACATTTTGCAAGACCTCAAAGGTTAGAAATGTCTTCTCTAATAAAGACAAACGACGTCTTATTCACAGAGCCCTCAGCCCTAAAAATGATGAATCTAGTCAGATGCATATCAACTTTGTTCAGTCTCAGTGCAACTTCAAACCACCATCTGGCGACTTGTAGAGAAACTAGGGCTGACTCCCACTGGTACGTCAGGCATTAGGTCACTAGCTCCAGCTGTGGGCTAGCCTTACACGCTGCTCATGCATCACTCCACCTCAAGCACCACCTATTTCACAAAGACACCAGGATTTAATTCACTGTGACACTTTCTAGCGTGACGCTCCTTTTACTGGTTCCTACTGTTGAAGGTTATGACAGATTCAGGAGCTCTTTGCTGGAGAGGGAAAACAAGGTGCTTGACACTGGAATGATTGTTTACCTGACGTAAAGAGACAAAGGGATGCGGTACGGGAAGTGCTGTCAGGAAGAGTTCTTCCATTTTTGTCTTATTGTGGCACTTAAACATTTCAGATCAATACATTTATTTCATTGTCAGATGGATAACATGGTTAGATCCTAGAGGTTTAATAATTCATCAGTTTAATAAGTAATAATATAATTAGATTGATGCAAAGTTGAACTATTGATCATCCTTTTTAGTAAACAGTAGCGCCATTACGTAAAAGGATGGATTATTTGTTATTATTTTTTATTTATTCATTTTCAGAGAGTTGATATAGATGATAATCATTTTGTTAGATTGGTATGTAATAGCTCATCAAATCGATTACCAACTTGGTAATTGAATATTATTTATCACATTGTGACAAAGTTTGTTTTTTTAACCGATTAGGAAAAAATATCTATCCAAACCAACTTTGTACTATGAGAAAAGGTAATTTTTAAATTATAATTTAGCTTCGATTTACCAGTTAAAAAAGGAAAAAATTTTTGAGTTTTAAAGAGTCGGAAAAATCAAGATTATATTTCGACAAAGCCTGTCTGACAACACAAAGTAGGCTGAAAAAGGTTCAAAATCAACAACACTGATCTGAACAAACTCAACAATCAAAATCATCAACATTAATCTATTTAAAAAGAGTTATAAAGCTATTTGTAAGCCTTTGTTTCTCCTGTGAACCATAGTCAGAACAATTATCCACAAATGGAGAACACGAGGAACACTGGTGAACCCATAAGGGAGCAACTGGGCAAAAACTGCATCCAGGGGAGATTTCAAGACACAAAAAGTAGAAAGACCTGCCTCAGATTTACCAACAAACATACTGATGATCACTAAGTCTTGTTGAAAATAATCTGTGGACTGAAGAGACCACATAGACACCAAATGGGACATTGTAAAGACTGTCAAATTAACACGGCGGTGGTAGTGTGATGGTCCGTGGCTGATTTGCTGCTTCGGTACCAGTGTGACCTCTTATAAATGATGAAACTATTAATTCTGCTAAGAACAACAATCCAATGTACACCCAGCCAGTCCATCTATGAATGGCTTGAAGATGTATGAGTGGTTTAGTCAAAGTCTAGTCTGAAACCCAGTTGAGATGCTCTGACCTTAAACCATTTATGCGTTTATAAAAAACAACAATTCTGCAAAGAACAGATGGCTAAAAGTTTTCACCTTGATGTAAAAGACTCAACATCCCTTATTCAGAAAACACTATTACCTATGACTTTTTTCCTTCGACAAATCAAATGATATTAAATAATCTTATTGTATTTTTTTTCTTATATTGAATTTTTTTTTTGTTTGATCTGAACGGTTTACATGAGGCCAAAAATTAACCCAGTCAAAACAGAAGAAATAAGTAAAACCGAAATTCTTGTTTCTTTGCAGCACTGTAGCTATCCGATCGACGACAAATACGACCCTCTGCCGGAGAGGCTAGCTTAGCACGTTAGCCGTCTACGAACGCTCTTCGTTGTGAAGCGGGAACAGTCCATACATGAACCCGGGGCATCAACCGCCACGCGGTGTGTTCCACCATGACATGTCATGTGGGTCCTTGCTCGAAAATTTGTCCCCGCACCCACAAAATTGAGCCTCTGACTTGCTATCTCCTCTGGTGTGAGAGGAAGCAGGGTCCATTTCCGTAGCTTGTTAACTAGCCAAACTTGGAGAAGAAAAGGGCTGAGCTGACTGGCGTGAAAGCCCAGAACAGGTAATATTAGCTGGTGTGCAAATATAGGTGGTAATAGCTCTAGACTTGAGGACTTCAACAGGGGGCCCGCGACCCCTAGGGGCTCCACAGAGGTACTGCATGGGTTTGTGAAAGTTTTAGTTCATTCGATTTTTTTTTTTTTTTTTAGATTCCCCCATGAAATTTTTTTCCACAAATTGAAATGTCTTTAAATGCACATTAATATAAATTCAATGCACGTAATGTCTTTCAGTCATCAATGGACACATTCAGCGACACACAGGAGCTCTTTCAAGCTGGGCACCGTTTCATTCACAACACCTGTCC